AATGGTTGACAGCCACATGTTTCAACACCACGAGGTCTTCTGTGAAGAGCTGAAAGGGACTCCCTCTGAAGCAGTGCTGCATAAACTGAAAAAGGAACTTCAGTAACTTCTACCTCAGAAGCAAGTAAACTGTTGATCTTCACTTGCCCCTCATTCTGCCCCTAGACAAGTGATTGCATCTGCATTTTAAAACTTGTTTTCACTCAGAACACCCAGCATCTGTTAAGACCTAGGCTTTTCGGCTTTGCTTCAGAAAAGCAGAATAGGCAAAGTTTTCAGGTGTTTTCCCCTTCCAAGCTCCCCTTTCTGACCCTTTTCCACAAAAACATCCATGTATGTTCATCTCCAAACTTCCCCTGCTGCCTGACAACACCCAGCCAGGAAGGGCATACAAGGGCAGCATCAATACATCCCATTTATCAAGCAATGAACAGGACAGAAACATTATGTCCTCTCCATTCTGACCTCCACACCTCTTTAATCATAGAATCATCAAGGTTGGAAGAGATCTCTAAGATCATCGACCATTAACCTGCCACTGCTGGAACCCCTAAACCATATCCTTCAGCATCAGATCCAGACACCTCTTAAACACTTCCAGGGATGGTGACTCCACTACCTCCCTGGGCAACCTATTCCAGTGCCTGAACACCCTAACAGGGAAAACATTTTTCCTAACATCAATCTGACTCTCCCCTATCTCAGCTTATGACTGTTCCCTCTAGTCCTCTCCCTGCAGCCATGGCAGGAGAGACCATTACCCATTATATAATCTCAAGGCAGGAAAACTAATACATGACAGGACCAGGTACAGTATGTGATTTCCAGATATACAAGTTCTGTTCTACCCACCAGAACAGACTAACACTCCAGACGACAACCAGAACAGTTGGCTTTACTGAAGTTCCAATATTTCAAACCTATGTCATTTAAGGGAGAAAAACAAAAGTGAGGAATTTCACTTCCTAGAAGTCTCCCTGAGGTTGATTGCCTGTGGCAGTAGTGGCCACATGCTGCAGATCCTACACGGGAGGCTCATTGTCACAGCTTCTCCTCTGCTGCACATGTCTCACCAAGAGCATTCAGACACTCATCATGAGACTGGCACATGCTCCTGCT